AACGTAAAAATGATATTCATTGTTGTGAATTTTAAAATTAATACCCAGATTATTAGTTTACGAGTTAGAATCATAATATTATACTACAGGTTTCTTATTTTTGTAATGTCGTTTCGCTATAATACATAAAATTCATATAAATACGAGCTGGGATGATTCAGATTTTTGCTAAACATAAATTCGTGCGATAAAACCCTGTGAAGTTTTTAGCCTTATATCATAGAATAAAAAAATACAGATTATATTACCTATCAGAATAAAAACATCTCAAATAATTTTAAAAATTAAAAATTATTACAACAATTATCACAAAATTGCTATTCGAACTCCTTTGATCAAGATGAATTGTGGGCTTTCTTTGCTACGCAGGAAGGAATCAATATATGCAGAAAAATTTCGATTCTAAATTTTTGAGAAAAAGCATTCAGAGTAACATTTCCATACTTGATCAGCCGATTTAACTGTGACACTTACGACAGTTATTTATTTAACATTTTAATTTATAATAATCAATATGATGATTAATTAATGAGCTTGTTATCATAACAATTTAAGTAAAATTTGTTAAATTTGCCTTTTAATATAAAGAAAATTGAAAAAAAAATTGTTTCTCATAATCGACATTAATTCAAAACGGGTAAGATTTCCATATTAAGAAAGTTGAATGGAAATTAAATTTTTTTTCTCTTAATCGGCATTTGTTCAAATTGGATAAAATTTTGGGCGTACATCAATGAGTAAAGTATAAAGTACCTTTAGAATAACTTTGATGATATTACTGAAAGGAAAGAGGTTTGCTCTAGGCTGATATTTATATGAATATATAAAACTTTTTTACGCAGTTTCTGCTTCAATGGAAAAATGAATCTTAACAAAATGTCAAGATGTGAGAAAAATATCAATAAAATAAATATTTCTTACTACATGGATCCCATTAATATATATATATATATATATAAGGATAAAAATTACTTAACTGAATTATACATTAAATTAGCAATAGTCCCTTAATTCCTCTTTTTAATTTGGGCAGTTCTCACTCTTTATTCTAAAAATAGTAACAGCTTTATCGAATTAGCATAATATGTGAAAACTAATTCCACGTTATGTCATCTTAATCTTCTGCATCTTTACCTTCTCAAAGAAAAATGTTACTATAAATACCACTGCAATCCAACTACGCATTTTCTTTCTTGCCCTTTCCTTCCCTAGCTTGCACGCGACGTTCAGTTCGCTATATCGCCCATTGTCTAAATATGGGCTAAGTGTTTTAAATTGTAGGATACATACTGCATCCATAATTCTGCGTGAAGCAAATGTTAAGTCTCCAAAAATGCTTTATCCAATAATAAATCGGCCACACTGTGGTCTGCAATCCATCATTTCCATCTACACCGCTAAGCAGGGATTTTTAAAGCAGGGATGGATGGAAGGCTATGTTTGTGTTCTTTCTAAAGAAAATTATTCGTATTTAGTTATTAAAAAATGCTCTGAAAGTCATGATTTTTTGGTATCTAAAGCAACGATAGACATTATTGCGAATTAGAAGGGAAAAAAATGTCAAAGTTTGGCTTCAAGTAGAAAAATTTTTCAAAATACATATCCAAGGAAAAAAAGGAAATGTTTCGAATGTTGCAAAGGTAAGAACATTAATGTTAAAAGAAAATTTGTGAAGTCGAAGGGCAATTGCCTAATCATTAAAATGCTTAGTGTGAACTGTAAACAAAGTTATTAATGCTGATTTGAATTTTAAAAAGGCGGAAAAACGTAATGTGCATGGTGTTTTCTCAATGACATATCACTAAAAGCAAAACGCGCTGCAGAATCCTCTATGAGAAACAATTATTCGGAAAAAAATGGAAAAATATTGTAACTATAGATGAATCTTCGGTATATTTAAATGACCGCAGTAAAAGAGATTCTTTTATTATCATCAAAGAAAAGAAAAAAATCTTAGATCATGGTTCAAAGAATTTAAAGAAGTTTTCAAAGGGATTAATGATTGTTGCTGGGTTTTGATATATCGACAAATAAAAATTAAAGAGAGTGCAGAAAACTGTTAAGGTCAGCTCCATATATACTAATGTTTGTGAAAAATGGAACACATTGTCAAAAATTGTCAAATTGGAATTGTCAAAGATGAATGAAATGTTTTCCACATATTACTGATAGTGATTCCGCATATTACTTACAAATTAAACGATCAAATTTACAAGAAAAAAAAAGGAACATCGGAAATCAGTACTTTATGTGTCCGCCACGCTGAGCGATGAAAGCCTGTACACGTCATGGCATTAAATCATACAGGTTCTGAATGTAATCCTGAGGAATGGCATTCCATATGGCTTTGACTTGACGCCAAAGTTCAGTCTTAGTGTGTGTCCCATCAACTGTATGAGAAAGTCGCCGGCCGACGAAATCTCAGATATGCTCATTGGGCGATATATCCGGGGAATAAGCAGGCCATAGAAGAAGCTAAACTTCTTGTGCCCTAAAAGTAGGCTTGTGCAATCTGAGAAACCTGTGTACGGGCATTTTCCTGCTGAAATACAGCGCCCGGAATGCGTCGAAAAATGGAAAGAACCTCTGACTCCACAACTTCCGTTATATAGCCATCACTGTTGAAGTTGCCCGCAATTGCCGTACTTAGGATCGACAATTATACCCAACAGTTCCCCAAACCATGATGCCAGGTATTTGTGCGGTATGATGCTTTATTAATGTATTTTACATGTATTTACGATGTAATTTACATTGTGGGAGCAGACGTTACCTTCTGGAACATCTGACACGTACTCTTCCATCATTATACTCCGGATTGTAGCGAGATTCACAGAAGAAAACAACTTGTTGCCACAGGGCCCGCCACGCACTGTGTTGCCGTTCCCACTAAAGTCGGACGCCTTTGTGATTCTGCGACTTCTACGCAGGGGAATCCTGCGTAGAAGAATCCTTACACACAGTTCATGCTGCAGCAAACGGCGATGAACCGTAGAGCTAGACAGCATAATACCTGTAGCCGGGGCTTCAAAGTAGTGCTGACACGCATCCGCATGGATATGAGGACGCTGCACGATCCGTCATATCCATGCGGATGAAGTGTCTGTCGTTCCGTGTCATTGTGTTATTGCGTGTCCCACTATCAGGATTTCTTCTTGTTTGGGTTCTCCTCTGTACATTTTCTTCCAGCCCACCAGTGGCCGAGAGGTAAAGTCGCTGAACACTGGTAGTTCGGTCCGAGGTTCGAACTCTGCGAACGGCCTGGCTGCATGAGTGTTTTTGTGTTTTCCCCATGTATAACGTGTATGAGTCAGTTTCTCTTATCCTTTACGAAGGCATCACTCCTCTTAGGTAGATAGCCCTCACATAAACTAAACCAAACCATTTCTTGCAAACACGCATCACTGTTGTTGCGCGGTTGCACGCTGCGTGCGGGTTCCGATTGCTTGATAAGAAAGTCCACCCTTTCGCATACCGACGATGCAGCCTTGTTCGAAATCCGTTAGTTGTTGCTATGGCAACAACTAACGGATCATGTTCTCGCCACATCATGTTTTGTTTTTTGTTAAGCTATAAATTTGAAAATTCCAAGTAGAGTTTTTATAAAAACAAACATTATTGTAAGTATTTAGATTTTGATTCTAAACTATAATTGCTGTATAGAGAGTTCGAAAAAATTGACTACAGGTTTTATTTTATTATTATTGATCTTAGTCTTACACTTTTGTTTTCAAAGTTTCCTAAAATGAGACAGTTATATGAATACAGTCTGAACTTTGCAAATGAAATGTCTCTAAAAATAAAAATTCTAACTTATCACACAGTTCTTGTAATTTAATAATTTCAATTAGTAAAACATTTCGGATGATTTTATTAGTTGAAGACAAAACGATCTATACAAACATGTACAATAGAACTGATGGATATATGTTTAATTAAAGTTTTCAGACAAAGTAAGAGTCCAGCTATGACGAATACTATTTTATCTGAGACAGAATTAATCACGGGAAGGAGATGTTTTTATTCCGCTGTTGATTAGGCATACTGACCGCAGATAGAGGACGATAAACAGATTTTAACACAAATTGACAGTCCTTTTTTATACATGGAACAAGCGGCCGGTTCTCATTCCACGCATGCGCAATCGCTTTGTAATTCTAATCATATGCACGTCTTACCTCACTTTACATTTCCTGTAAGTTTTGTTCAATTTGCACAATTCCTTTTTGGTACTATAATTTTCAAGACACAAAAGTTTAAGTAAAATATTTTCGTAAATACGATGGAAATTATCTAAAGAATGTGTAAATAGCCTCTATATAACAAAGAATATGAGGGCGTCTCGGCTAAAGGAGGAGATGACTTCGGAAGACTTTCTAACGAAAATTTTTTTTATTTACTTAGACTCTACACGTAGGGAAAATCACAAAAGCATGCTCATAGCCAGCTCACTTACGTAAATCGAATCCAGACAAACTATTAATATTAATCGGTCTTATCCATTCTGTGATTTGTGTACTTTTCTAATGCAGAAAGTTTAAATAAATTTGTTCCAAAAAATTAAGCGCAATTTTTTGTAATAATAAATCGTTTTTCTTTCACAAAACTCCATATAGAAGCTAACAAGTTTTTATTTATTAAAAGTAGACACCAAAAAGGGCGACGAACTTGGCGATTGTGCAGTACAGAGCGCAGGGTTGCTATACTCACCGTATCCACAAACTCGTCTTTAATCTCCGTGCGCAAGATCAATTAAATAAGGGTCTACGATCTTATTACTCTCCTACGCAACATCTATGCACTTTACTGCAAACTGAGGAAGGTAAAGTTTCTCTTTCCGCATTGCGAGAAAGCAAGAAGTTTTAGCATTGTCTACTAGCAGATACGGATCAACAGACACAGATTAGTGTACTAGACAGATAGGAATTTAATAAAAGTTCAAATATGAAGCCGCATACGGGAGGTGTTATTTTAGATGTTTAAGGAGTGTGTACTTTGGCTGTTAGGAGTTTCGTAATTTCACACTTGAGATCAGAAGCGCTTGCTGTAGAATTGGTCGCACCAGAGGACCGATCTCGCCACATCATGTTTTGTTTTCTGCTAAGCTATAAATTTGAAAATTCCAAGTAGAGTTTTTATAAAAACAAACATTATTGTAAGTATTTAGATTTTTATTCTAAACTATAATTGCTGTATAGAGTGTTCGAAAAAATTGACTACAGGTTTTATTTTCTTATTATTGATCTTAGTCTTACACTTTTGTTTCCAAAGTTTCCTAAAATGAGACAGTTATATGAATACAATCTGATCTGAAAATGAAATTTCTCTAAAAATAAAAATTCTAACTTATCACACAGTTCTTGTAATTTAATAATTTCAATTAGTAAAACATTTCGGATGATTTCATTAGTTGAAGACAAAACGATCTATTCAAACATGTACAACAGAACTGATGAATATATGTTTAATTAAAGTTTTCATACAAAGTAAGAGTCCAGCTATGACGAATACTATTTTATCTAAGACAGAATTAATCACGGGAAGGAGATGTTTTTATTTTGCAGTTGGTGTCTAAATTCGCAATCAAAGATTTTGAATTTAAATTGCTAATAGGCATGGTTATTACTATGTCAATAAACTTGTTTTGACTGAAAGAGATGAGACTGAGGCGGCCGTATCAAGACGATGCGGAGTTATTATCTACCACATATTATAGTTCGTATACCATTACAGAACGAATAAATTATTTAAGATGTTACCTTAAAAATTAACTGTGCTTAGGCAGAAAATAAAAACCCGAGTCTTCCCAGTTTTTAATTAGGTATGCCAACCACTACATCATACTATTATATACATCCACTATTATATAGAAGAAATAAATTTAATTCCTTAAAAATACTTTAATGTATATGCTGAATATTTTATTGACAGAATTTTATACTCCCGCGAAAATACGTAAAACGGTTAGATTTTTTACTTTTTCATATCTTTCTGCACATTATATATACAGTTTTAAAAAAATCTGCTATTTATTTTAAGAAATTTTTATTTAAAAATGATACGCCTGTGATCAGTATTTAGAGAAATGAGAAGTATGATATACATCTAGCCTTTTCGTATACTCTGTACATTGCTAGCAGTATTTTGAATAAATGGACTATTATATTTCAAAAATATAAGTAGCAAGCAAAACTATTTGGAATTCTCAATAAAGTGTACATTAAAAAAATAAATAAAACACTTTCTCCTTATTTCTAGGTCAGTCGACTATTCCCGAAAAGGGGGGACGTTGGAAGAAACTTTCATTTCTCTTCTGTATAGGAAGTGATTTATCTGTTGAGAAATATTACGTCCGTGAAATATATTGAGTGACAAAAGATTCAGCTGGCTGCAGACGACCGGAAAAGTGTATAAAGCATTAAAACATTACTTGCCCCTCTGTTACCACAGTTCATCGACGGATGTGACAAATGGATGTTCCTGTAAATGGACCCCTCCCTAGCATTTAAGCTTTCTTTAGACATTATATTTGGAAGCTAACAACTTCCTAGTTAAATAGGCGGAACAAGATATTGCTTCGGGAGTGACAATTTTTAAATGCAGCAAATTATCAGGAATAAAAAGCGAATAATCGGAAAATTATTAATACAATTACTAAAAGAAAATGAGTTTTATCAGCCAGTAAGAGTAAAAAATCTAGTTCACATTTTAATTAGATGAACTCAGGAAAACTGCAGATCCAGAAAAACTTAGAAAACAACTAAAAGATAGACAGACAGATTGGAGGTACGTATATATATATATATACATATATACATTCCTACGGATCTTTGTTAAATATTTATTTTATTTAATTAAAAAACTGAGTAGTTCAAATTAATGCAATTAACAAAAACTACATGCTCGCAAAGATTACGATCTAAAAGAGGTTGATAACAACCAACCATAAAGTGAAATGTAAGTTAGAGAGCTTTCAAACTATGATTTAAAAATGCTTTGTTTTTACTTTCTATACAAATTAATGCATTGTTTCCGACTAGAGTGCACTGTACTTTTCCTAGAATTGTCATGGTAATTTGATTCGCGAAAAAAAATCTTGAAGAAAATTTAGCTGGCTAAAATGAAAGCCGGCTGAAAGGAGATTAGATGAAAGAAATTAACTGCCACTTTTTAAAGAAGGTAAAGAATGCGATCTGATAACTACAGAATAGATTACCATTTTTATAAATAAATAAATAAATAAAATATATAAAAAATTCCTACATTTTAATAAATAATATATATAATAAAATACAAATTTTAAAAGATAAAAAATATAAAAATTCCACAAAAATTCTATTTTTTAATAAAAATTTATTCATAAAATAAGACTTTAATGCTGAATAGTATTCAAATTCTATTCAAAAAGAATTAAAATTTAATAAATTTTGTAATTTTTTTTCGAGTTTCATTTTAAGCATGAAATGACATGAAAAATATATCAGAATACTGAAAAAATATTTTACCGTGTGAACAAAATTAAAAACGAAAATCAATAAAGACGTTTTCAGTTTGTATGCTGTTACGAAGCATCATATTATATTTATGACGTAGACGAAGACGGTAATATTCACAATTAGAAATTTTGCACTGGATGTCATAAAGTCTTAGAAATTTATTTTATTTATGACATGGTATTTAAAAAGTCCAGCAAGAAATAACATTTTAGAACATTAACTTAAGGCTTCTTGGTATCGAAGGCTCATCAAAGTTCTTTTATGGTATCTAAAATTATTATTATTATTCATCCATTAGAACAACGTCCATTTATATCTAGCGCGATTTTATACAAATTGCTCAAACAATAACATCTCTTACATAGTAAGAGTGGAAAATGATCAACTTTATTTACAAAGTAAGGAAGCCTATTCTTAATTGTTCTGTTTGTATTATTTACTACGCAGACGACTTTCTAAACTGATCTGAAACAATTTTTACTTTTTTGTAGAAATAAAACTATTAAGTTTAATTTTGATTCTTAATTATGAATTAAGAATTATTAAAATTAATTATGAAATTATAAGTTTAATTTTGATTCTTAATTAATTTTATTATTAGTTATTTAATAAAGAAATAACTAATTAGAAATTCATAGATAACATACTGAAAAGAGTTTCGTCCAAAATGTACTAAGTAATTTTATTCCTTCTTTTCACACGCAATTCACAGACTTCCAAACACTAAGGAAGATTAAAAGTTAATCTGTAATAAATCAGTAGATCAAACGTTCAGAATTTATGCTAAAATCAGGATTGACTAGAAAGGTCTTTATGATTGATAAGCAAAGGTTTTCATGGAAAAGATATCATGATTAACCAATCATAATTTAGGACTGATCGGAAAATTACTTGTATAAATATGAAATATTGCTTTAGCCTTGGAATCTATGTCTTGAGTAGTTAATATAAATGCACAAAGTAATATTTCAAAAGGGCTTATCAGTACATCAAATTTACAAAATTTTCCATACCTCTAATTTGAAGACTGATTTTTTTGTATCCATATTATTTATTAAAACAGTAAATGCTTCGACTTTGTAATTTGTTAAAGTATTCTATTAAATATTCCACCTTCTATGCAACAATATAATAAAGCTTAAACTACAAAAGCATATTAAAAATACAAATTAAATTTTGAATTTCTGATTATTTGAAATATTCAGATTTATTCGCTTAACATATACTCAAAAGGAAAAATTTATTCATGTGTCACCCGTTTTGCTCAATTATATGACATAATTCTTAAATAACTGAAAAATGAAATCTTATTAATAAGGGCGTCAATATTCGCTTACTTAAAAAAAAAATAATGTGGCCTAGAGCAATTTAACTTGTATAAAGCTTGAAAGGTAACCCCCCCCCAAAAGTATTAGTTTAATATTTGGACGTAAAATTTTTCATATCTGCCATATTTCATAGCTAACTGAGAGATGGACTTTCTGAACAGACCGTTTCAGTATCATTTTGACAGAATTGCTAAAGCTAGATAAAAATTTCAAAATTTTCATTTGCATTTTTTTTATTTGCCTAAAATATATACCGAAATACTGTTGAGGGAACAAGTGGTAAAGGGCGCCTAATAGCAATCAAACATTGTCGTTAAACATTGAAATTAAACATTGTTGCTAATCAGCTGCGTTAATTCAATTCAAAGAACAAACTGACCGAGTAAAGCTTTTTCAAAATATTCCTTTCCCTCTGCTCCAAGAAATAAAATAAAAACGTACCGTTCGTAAGGCATGTTGTCCGATACACTGGCTGAGCGCAGACGGTAATAAGCTGCAGCCCGCAAAACCAAAATAATCCAGCGAGAGTTCTCTCCCCTGAACGACTACTGAACCGAACTCGATCACCCACCTGACTCCGCGATCCCAGGTGTGTGTGTTGAGTGAGCAGCAACCTCTTCGTCACGGGTCGTCTGCTGGGACGACCACAAAACCGGACCCCGTTCGAAAGGTGGGTCTTCGACGGCGTGACGTAAAACTCTGGCGCGACCAACTAGCTGGCTAAGAAAATTGCCCCTTCTTCTTCTACTCTTCACGCAAATGAGGATCAAGATGTTCCAACAGGTAAAAACGGAGGAGTGCGGCTTGTCGAGAAACTTGTGTTTTTTATATCTGCTCTGAATCCGTTACGGACTTTTCAATTCGGAAGAAAGTTAAGAGACAAGCAGTATAATAATACCTTACTGAAATGCAACCGGGCAGTTTAAAAGTGAAAGCTGGACCTCACAAATAAAAATATCAGAATCGTAAATGTCAAATATGCACGAAAAATTAACAAAGAAGATTGAATACCATTATTCGATAATTTTTCAAAAATTCTGGAATATTTTGGGTGTCAGGATATCATCTGCCACCGAGCTGAATCTAAAACGATTCTTTGCAACAATGGAAGGTCAGGAAATAACCGATATAATAGCATACGCAAGTATATATTGTGCAGATATTTTGAGATTAAAAAATAGCAGCGCAGGCACACAAGGTGACAGAACGCAGAAGAAACAGTTAGCAGAAGGTAACAAGATACAATTTATTTCTGGACACTTTTAGTTCTTGTGGCAGATGTCCTCAATCACGCACCATTTTGGTTGCGACAAGCAGTCCCACAATTTTGTGCTACTGTGAAAATATGTGCAAATGCCCTGACCGGAACTCGAACCTGGACCTCTCGAATACGCGCCGAGTGTGCTAACCATTACACCACGGAGGCATTCTGGAAGTGGGGAGAAAATACCTTACAATCTTTAAATGAGCATAGCGATAGTAACAGTAACTAAAGCATTTATTGGCAACTAAATAATTGTTACTTAAAAATTCTAGAACCAACTTTTCAGTAACTACACGTATATAAATTTGATAAAGTTTGTTTTACACGTACAAAATTTTATCGAGTTTCGTTAGCTCGGATTGAATGTCAGCAATGCCGGTTACTAATTCATGAAGTTGGATTCTACTTACGAAGGCCGTAGCCATTTGTAATCTGTATAGTGTCTCTGCGGCATGCAGACACTTAACTATCTGCTGAGCACGATCTGTCCAAAAAGCTGATGACAGGGGAAGACGGGTACGAAACTCTCGCAAGTATTTGCGGTCGAAATTGGAATAGTGAAGTATAGATTGCCATTGCAGAAAAGTTGTTGTCTCAGACCTTTCAACTTAGAGTCTATCGGTGATGCAAACTAGCAACTTGTCAGATCCAGTCCACGTTTGATAAAGGCATATTACGCGGCATAATCGAGAACAAGTCAGATTATGTTGCCATGGATGCCTGATCATGATGCAGAGGTCTAAGTTTACTTTATTTAAATTATTCAGAACGAATTACAGATAGACGAAGACAGAAGTACACCATCAGAACACATAAAGTTACAGAACAGCGCAATTATCATGGCAGTATTATAGAGCAACACACAACAATGTCCAATAATGAGCAGAAGTAGAATTAATACACTATAACATAAAATTCAAGAATCTGCTTAGCTTTACATCTGCATCATTATTATTAACTTACTTTGCAGCAATTGCGCAAGTAGTAGTAACTTGTTTTCGCAATAAATGAATTTAAGATCATAAAACATTATATATATATATATATATATATATGTGATGTACCAGCTTTTGTCCGGAATAAATAGATTGGTGAAGAATCATAGATGTAGTCGTAGCTTAAATTATGAGACGATAAGTTTAAAAAACAGGACCCATTTATTATATTTCAGGGTAAATAGCAATTACAAAAATCTGATCTCCGGAGTAAATAAAAAAGAATTACTAATAACGTTTTGTATGAAGTTTACTGCATCGTTACATTAAAGAAAAGACTCCGATATTCCTTTGCGAGTCCTTTTATAGCCCCTGGAAAGGTGGAGCTTCCAAAAAATGACATCAGCCTCGTTAGCCATTCCAGTTCGCTTTAAATATCTCCAGAACATTCTATAACTGTGCGTATAGAAAAGGCGGGAAAAACAACTTGACTACGGGGCTGTGGATTTAATTCCACGTACTTCCACGTATAAGAGACCGTCGCCATTAAAAATGAAAAGAAGATATAGTTAGAATTTTAAATGTATTCTTGACTATGGAATTTTATTATTAAATCAATAATTTAGTTGAAGTAGATTAAACCCTCCTAGAAGAATTCTAAAACTGTATTAAAGAAAACGGTGTTAAATTTTAAAAACATGAAACGAAAGTTAAGACGATTCCATGCTATTTTTGAAAACTTTTTAGAATTTATTTAAAGTAA